CATCCAATCTTATTGACTGCAAGAATTTAGTCATATAAACTGTATTTTACATATTTTCTACACATGTACTTTAAGACTCATTGATCAACAGTACTTCTTAGAATAAATCAGTTAAAAGTGGTTACACCAAAAATTATATATTCCCATCACAAACGTTATAAGCTGATATTGATTTTTTTCTCTCTCAAGGAAAGAAAAGTCTTTGTTTCTGTAAATCTTCCATATATTTGTCCCATAATATTCTCCAGAGGCCTTTTTTATTCTTACAGGAATTCCAACTGCCCGTTGCTTTATGAAATCCCCCTAGTTCTGCATGGAGACTGAGTGAGATCCAGTCAAACAAGGAACAAAGCCAAAATCACGTACTGTTTCCAATTAGTCCCAACTAACTTGCAATGCTGATTTTTTAATCTAGTTTTATAGCTGCATAGTCATATAAAACCAAAGTCTTAAAAAATCCACAAAAATTCCAATAAATTTGTGGAATTTGAGCATTCAATGACAATATGGTTCAACCATGAATGTTACTTAAGCAGAAAAAAACCCTGCATTTGCAAAGTACATGGTATGCTTCACTCAAAGTAGCAACTAACACTGTAATGAAATAACAGAATTAAATACCACTTCCAGCTTTCAAGAGAGTTGTCTCTGCATTTAGATTTGACAGATTGTCCTTGTTTCTGATTTTAAAACGATGGATGTTTTTCCCTCTGTTAAATTCCACCTGGTTATCAGGAGACTGCTAAAATCATAATGTGATTTCAGAATGAGCTCTTGTGATGAACTTAACTCTCTGTATATTTTAATGTTCTGTGTGGTAGAATTTGAATATTAATGTGTATTTTACCTAAACCCAAATATCTCACCAAACATATCATCAGTGTCTTCACGGCTCTTTCTCAAATTTGCTATTCTTCCCTAGATATAAGCTCCTTTTTAGAAATCATCATATCACACACAAAAAAAAAGGAAAAGTCACACATGTTTTTATGGTATGACGCATTTTCTGTGCACTGTATCTGGATATATTTAGCAAGAAAACAAATACCATCAGTAGCTACTAACCAAACTACTGGCATTTAAAATATAAACTGAAGGCAAATATACTATCAGTTTACTTCATCACTCACAAATCATAATCTCTCACATTATCACTCTCCAAAGATTAAGGAATGGATACAGACATAGCATTTTAATAAATCTTCAAGGAACAAACAAAAACATGATACATGAAGTATCAGGCACTAAGACCAATTTAATGTCTCTAAAAATCTGTAACTCATCCTCCTTCTGGGGGATAAGGTGGAATGTCAGCATTAAAGTAATTTTTAATGTCTACATAGAGATTTAACAGCCCAACGTTAGCATCCTAATCTTGAAATTATAATTTCTCAACCATTATAATTTCTCAACCAACATCAAGCCACAGTTAGTACAGTTCCCCCCAATATTTTTGCTTTCATCCTATGAAAGATGTCTACTCTTTTCAAATCCACACTACAGTTCTTCCTCATTTGTACTCTCTCATGCTAACAATATTTGGCATTCAATTTAGTGGCTAGCATGCTGCTGTTACAATTCTATGCACAATCATAACTGAAAGAAAAAAATCTGTATGTCAATACACTTTTATTGATATACTGTTTAAGAACAGCCTATAGCTAATATCCTATGTGTAGATTTATAGTGCAGTAGTATTTACAGCTGAGAGTGACTACCATCTGTATGTAGTAGTAAGAACACCAATGTTTTCTTGCTTGCTCATTCTTTTCCCATTTGTTATAGTTTTACAAAGCAGTTGTCTTTCATTACCAGCTGGAGCACAAATAAAAAGGTTACTAATGCCACTTTTCTTATTCAGAAATCGAGGTCCAAAACTAACTCACTCCAACTAAGCTGTTCAGTAAATCAGCAGTCTAAAAGCAGTTTGACCCAAATACATATCTGACTCTGATGCCTAAAGATTTTTAGCTTTTTGTAGATTTTAATATAGCTGTATAATTTTCTTTCACTTTAGACAGATACTAAAACCCTTCTCACTGTTTGTGCTACATTCCTGAATTTCTGTTTAACAGTCTTTTGAAGGAAAGACATTTTAGCAAGGACATCCTGTTTGGGATGTACACCTGGACCAGGATAATAAGATATACTGTAGTTAAAACAAGATAGAGGACCCAGAACCCTTAGAAAGGCTCCAACTCGGCAGTTCTGAGAGTGGTACCAGGAGTGAAAATGGTTTTTGGGTTGGATGTACTCACTAGATATGGTAATCAGTTAAAGTTATAAAAAGTGTGAGAATTCTGTGTGCGTGTGCCTGCCTATGTACTCCGTGCACCCGAAAGCTTTCATTAAAGAACTGCTCTATACCTTATCTATATTAATATTGTTTGGAGAGTTTTTTCTTCCATTTTATGTATCAACTCAACAAATCCTAGTCACATGTACATTTTAAAGCAAATCATAAAGAAAACCAGAGTTACAAATCATGCTGTATTTTAATTGCATTTAATTGATATATATCTTCCCAAAGAATTCAAAACTGATTTACAAAGCTACCCTAATTTAGACACATTCTCCTGCTCAGCAACTGGAAAGAAGACTTGACAATGCATTTCAGTGGTGGGACCACACCTCACACAGTGGGAGTCTCAGGGACAGGGCTGATCTGCTGCCCAGGACAAACCCTTGTACTCCATCCCTGACTGCCTCCCATCCAAAACGATTACTAATTTCCTAAATGTCCAGTGTTGATTCCCACTAGGCATATCAAAATCATCTGACTTTTTTGTTACAGCAGCTAAGTAAAACATGTCATACTGACTCACAACATACATCCCACGGCATGCTTTTGCCTCTTGAAGACTCAGCAGAATTGCTTGAAGAGCAATTATGCTGCCTCCAGAAGCCTCCTTTTCCATCCACTTGAATTTACGAAGCTTGTTTCACTTGTGATTTTTCTGAGCTGTGATATTGCAGCAACATTTTCGGTTTAACAGCCAGCTGTGTGCATTTTTTTTAACTAGACTTGGCATTTATATTCTAGCAATCTTTTTTTTAAAAAGGCATCAGCAAGGCTCACTTTGCCCTTGCCCTATTGAAAAGGTCTGCATGACTATGTGGCTTGATAAACAAACCACTGCCACTCATTCATTAAACACTGCTATAAATCAAACAGGTAAAATATTTCTAGCAGCTGCAAAAATGCAATGGATGTTTTTCCTAGAGTCAAAGCAAAGGTGAGAAAAAGAGGAATTTGCAGCCTGTACTCTGAGTCTGGTATTAGACACGTAGAGGTGTCTTATTTCTAAAAGAGCATATTCCACAATGAAGCTAAAATTCTCTGAAGGGAAGAAGGAGGCAGATTTTGAAGTACCCATTTCAGAGAATCCCAAATTGACATACTGAGTTGAATTAGCCTCTCTGTTTGTTTTGTTGCCCTTCTCTGGTCTACCTACTGTTCACATCATTACAGCAGAGATGAGGGTCTAGGATGTGGCAACCTGAAATACTACACAGGCAGTATTTTTTTTTCTGCACTTGATTTATCATGAGAAGGTTTCGTTTGGCTCAATGGGTCAAAACTGGAAAAAAATCTTCAGTATAATACTATTTATTATTAATAGACTTTCACAGCCATGCAGGCAAATGGAGAGAGACATTCTTAAGACAAATTAATGAAAATTCTATTATAATGTAGTTTGCTTAGTACATAAATCTCATGTCCATTAAAATTACAGAAACATTTTCATCCCTGTCATCTCCATCTCACTTAAGCACTCAAGCTCATTTATGTCTACTTTTTCTCTCACTGAAAACAAATCTGATGGCCTAATTTAAAATTACACTTGGGTGAATTTAGAAGAGATTTTGAGGCTTGACGTCCATTAAGATTTGTCATAGAGCCCATCTTACCTTTCACCAGAGAAGCCTTATAACCAACCTATCTAATCTCCTCTTTTTGCCATCCCAAAGCTAATCAAAACATCCTGGAATTATTTACAAGTTTATCAGATCTGTGTCTTTCCTGTACAACACAATAGGACTTCTACTGCAAGTGCTGAAATGAAAATTACCAAAGTACTTCTTAAAAACTGAAGGGACAGAGCCATTTCCAAGATACTCACAAGTGTATGCAGAGCCCTCAAACAGCTGATTACCAGGTCTGTTTTGACTGGAAGCCCTTTCTTCCATACACTATTTAAGCAGCATTGGTTTAATTTTAATACCTACACCACAGTAATAAAATAGAGGTGGTATTAACTGGTACCTTTGTTTCATGATTGCAAATTAGTTATGGGAAAGCAAAAACATAATGAATAGAATAACTAGACTGTGGCATTGCCTAACCCTTAGTCGCTGGGTATGGTAGTCTTAATGATGAGCTTAATGGAGAACATTTTGTGGAGTAATCTAGATTTAATAAAAGCAAGAAATTTCATCTTATGGCTTTTACAGAAACTGTCACAGTTGCAATCCCATAGACAAAACTCCTCTGTCAATTGTGCTAGCAGGGTAGCCAATGGCAGGGGTAATTTAACTAACTCATGGCAGAGCACACAGTGCCGAGACTTGGCAGTCTCAAACTCCCTGGTTCTGACTTGAAAATACTCTAGGTTTTTTTTTTTTCTCCACGTGTCCATAGTTTGCTTCTCTCTGCATTTCCAACTTCAGTGTGTCCCTGCCCTGGTACTCTCTCCCCTGTCCTTCATTCCCTTTCTCAGCCCCAGCTCTGCTCCTCAAGTTTACTGTTGGATCCTAGACTTTCTTCCTCTCTTCTTCTGAGCAACCTGTTCTTACCTTATTTATATATTCATGTCCTGTATCCCAAACCATGCTTTATTTTCATTTGCAGCTCTCTTTGAAGAGCTGATGCACCCCCGCTCTTCCAGGGTCCTCCTCCAGCCTCAGCCTTCATTTCACATGCTACCCTGGCTATTTGTCCCAGGTGGTCTGCTCAGGCAACCTGTTTATCTCTTACTCTCATCTCTGTTTATTTCTACCTCCCTACACATTTCTGGACCTCCAAACCCTTCTTCTTTGACATAAACCACAACCACCTTCCTGTTTTCCATCTCCAAAAGCAACTTCATCTTCCTTCTGCTCCAGTGCTGATACCGCTCCATGGTCCCCTCATTTAAGTATCTTTTCAGCTCCTCTCACAAACTCATCAGGATTTTTATGCCAGTGTACACTCCCTGTGCAGTTTCTGTGACTTTTATATTTGTATCTAAAGTGCATGTGCCTGCAAACTCATCTGCTTTTTCCAACCGAATTAGTGGCCTGATGAAAGATATTATTTCTTCTTCCAAACCTGGCCTCATTCTGAGACTGAAGGCTTCCTCTCCTCCATCAACTAGATTCCACAAAAAATGGAAGGGAGTATAGGATAAATCTACTATCTAATAAAATGAAAACAGTTCCTCTTCAGAGAACTATTTATGCCTTCCTATAGTAAAATCACTTGATAATCTATAAAAAAACCAGTATCTCAGCTTTAGCCTTTTCCTAGGTGAGATAGGACAGTGTCCTTGCAATTCCTCTGTGATATCACATGACCGTCTGAAAAGTCTTCTAATATTTAAAAAAAATAAATCTTTGAGATACCTAAATGAATGAACTATACACTTTAACATTCTAGTACAACTCAAAGAGTGATGCACTGGGAGAAGAATTTTAGGTCAGAAGGGTGTTTTTATGAGAGAGGGAACAGTAAGGTTGCTGAAACCCCTGTGCTTGATATATGTGAGTTTGTTTCAAGTTCACAACACAATCACATAGATCAAAGCTAAATTTAGAGACAGTGAATTATTCATTGCAACAGTAGTCAGCTAGGCTTATCTGGACTCTGAGGAACTGAGAACATCACCCCAGACAACACTCGTTCATAGACACGTGGTTTTTCAGATCTATTTTTTGGCTCCACAGTACAAAAAAACTGCATTGGTCAACCAGTTGCCCAGAATCTTGTTGAAGGTTTTTCTAAAGATAAGTAAAGAACTATATGCAGCTTGCTTCCAGTTTTTAATACATTAAAATTCCATTTACCCTTGTCTCCAGAGATACAGAAGTGACAATTCAATTGAACTGAGAAAGTAAATGTAAGAAAGAGAAAAGCCACCAGCACAGCAGTTATTAGGATACTCAGACAACTGTGACATTCAGATTTCATTCCCTGTTCAAAGCAGACACTTGAACTGAGATGAAAGATAGTTCAAGTCCCTCCTCTAGATCCTGGGAGGAGCACGTTTAAGTGTATGAAGAAGATTACATAAATTTATGAAAGGGATTAGATGACACTGGGCCTGTGATAAGAGACAATTGGACTCAAAGACCCAAAAAGCTGCCCCCGCCCTCTGTTCCCATGAATGTTTCCAAATCCAATTTACACATTTATTTAATACATAGATTATGTTTCATTCCTGTTGCAAGCATTAGCACTGAAGCTGCATATAGCACCACTTCCTATTATTTAGCTTAAACATTCCCTTAGAGCTTTATCACCAGTTTGCCCTAGGGACCGACACTATTAGTTATGCTCAGGGCTGGACTAATCAATAAAAGGACAAATATCAGCAATGTTGTGCATCATCCTGCTGAAAATTTCTTTATTCAAGAGCTTGTTATTGATGAACAGGAGCTTGCTAGCAGCAGAGGGGAACCATACGGGACTTGCTTTGTGACCTCAGGTAAACTGAGGAATGAATTCCTCTGTCAGACCTGTCAATCCACCATAGCATATATTTCTTCAGAACCAGGTGCTGACATGGACAAGAGCATTCATCCCAATCCAGCAGGCTTAAGAAGAAGCTTCCCTAACATGATGGGGAAAGCAACTGTCTGTTTACTGCACTTTCGGTTTTTATGACAACTCTTGTCTCTTTCAGAGGTATAACAGTTATTCAGAAAATAAATATATTTATCCTTTTCCTTGTGATTCTAAACCCTACTTATTTTTCAACTTACATTATTAGCTTACTTATGAAAAATCAATACTAGAATATAGACAGTGGAACCGTTCCAGGATCTTTTTAATTACATTCTCCACACAAAGGGGTGGGGGAAGAAATATAAAATCAGTACAGAATGTCCTGGATGTCTAAAATTCACCTACAGTAGAGCAGCCAGCAATAAAAAATACTTATTATCATTTGTGTCAGAGTGAACATGCCATTGAGTTTGGCTGGGTTAGTTGTTTTACTGTGCAACTATGGTTTTGGGCTATCTGAAGGAAAATAACTGCACTGGTTATAGTCTGGGCTGGTATCTTTCCAGTGATTCTAATAGCAATGAAAAACAACATCTGCAGCATGGAGTGGAAACTTTGCATTAAGGGAACACAATTCTCTAGAAAGCATTTCTGTGGTGAAACCAGAGTCAGGAAATCAGGCAGTAAAGCGGATCTTTGACATAAGATCTTTCTGATGATTATGCACAGAGTGGAGGATTCTGGGAGAATGAACTGCCATTGCTGCCACTGCCAGGCAGACTATGCTCACTAGAGACAATTTGCAAATGTAATCTGCAAAGGGAGTGGCACGCAATGCTGCACTGAGGCACATTTTGCAGTTTCCATTTCCAGTTTAAGGTCTACATGGGATATTTACTGCTTGCACATTCTTTTCAAGACTGGGTTTCATCTGCCTGCATACTTCTCTCAAATAAGGAGTGGGTTACTTGTACATGGAATTACAAGTGTTGTTGCTGCTGAAATATGCATGGGACATACCAGCAGAAGTCAGTCACTGGTGGTGTTTATAAGGCAAAACAAAAAAATTAGCAGGATGCTTGTGTTCTTAACAGTCTCCTAAATTCTAAGAAAAAACAGTTACACTCAAGCACTTCTTAGCCATTATGACTCTCTGTCCCTTAAGATGTTCAGAACTATAAAAACTGCATTAAAACATCAGCTGTGGGGGTTTTTGGGGCATGACAGATGATGTTCATTAAAATATAAACTTATCACTTGCAGTGTTCAGGATTACTTTGCCTAGCAAGAGTAGAGACACATTAATAGACTCTATGTGACAAACCAGGAAGACTGTGGGAAACAGAAGCAAACTTAAATGCATCAAAGGGTTCTTTCTAGTTTGCAGCACACGGCAGAGAGAGGTTTTCTTCCTGCTCCATTTCAAGAATAAAAGGCTGCTTCTTCCTTCAGTAAAGGAGATGCTAAAATATAAATGTTATCCCAGCCAGTCAGGTATTTCCCCTGCCCTCAACACATGAACAGCTGAGAACGAAATAATTTGTGTGCAAGATTTACCATGTTTATAATTATGTTTGCAATATATGCTATTTCCAGTTCAAATACAGGTTACTTGTAAATCACTGTGTTTGACCTGCAGTTTTACATCCTGCTTCTCTGCTGCATGTTTCTCAGTGCAATTATGCATTTGGAGACACAGGGTGAGGTGAGCGTGATGACTCACATGAGGTACCAAGGTTGAGAGCAGCATCTCCACCCAACAAACGGAAGAACATTGCAACAAAGGGCATTTTTAGCATTGCAATAACAAACATTCATCTGATTTCACAACAGCAGTAGTGACTTCCATCTGTGAACCCAGTCCTCCTCTTCTCTAGAGGAAACAATGAAAAGAGAAGTTACTTGCTAAATTAAAATCAATAATAAAGAGATTCACCTGTTATTACCACAGTATTTTTCATCCACCCAGCTCAAATACTTTGGAAAGATCCATGATATCATCTGTACTGTGTGGGCTTGGACTTTGGATCCCAAGTGCCTATAGTGCTTCCTGATTCTGAGCTCAATTCCATCCCACCATAGCAAGAGCAGGCAGCTCCCAGGCCACAACACTGCTACAGATGTCCCAGTTCCATAAAAGGGCTATTTCTAGCCTCCTTATATACAACAGAGATAAAAACCATCAAAGTTCAGATAAAAATAACCTGTCTCCCACATCTCCTAAGTAGTCTGGTTGCTCCCCAGACCTTCAGACCTCTCATTTCTCTGTCACTACATTCATTTCATCTAGAAATGAAAAATTCTTAAACTGTGAATGACATCCACTTATAAGTTAGGGTGTTTGGATAAGTCATTGTGCTTTGGTTTAATTTTTTTCTCTTGGTCCTTCACCTTAATTCCTGTGAAGCTGAACTCTCGATGCCAGGACACACTTTCTCTGTTGATACCACACACACTGGATACAAAAGCAGTGCCTGGTAAGAGCCATTAGCAATTTCAGTACATTTGCACATTGCTGCAAACGTTTGGAAGGAAAGCACACTGCATGGCATGCAGGGTCTTTTCATGCCACGTTCTTGTGCGGAGACAAAGCTTTTGTCTCAGGCCATACAATAGATGCCCTCCAAACCTAAGACATGAATAAGACATTTCTAGTAGTATCTCCCTTTGTGCCGAATGTGGACATTGATATGTTATCCCATTTATGCACCACAGTCTTAATGCATGAATAAGGCACTTATATCTTCTAATAATTCCAGTGGCAGTGGATCTTCCAAGAACACTGAAAATTGTCAAACTTCTTCCTCCGATAAGTCTCAATATATTTCTGGGTGGGAGGAAATAAAGAGCTTTTATACAACCCCTGGAAAGGTTCCAGTTTGAAAAATCATAATGACTGGTCAACTCCCTTAGTTGTAGCACATCACTTGCATGCTGCTACTTTAATTTCTAGAATAATGCAATTCAAGTGGTGAAAAGCTACTGTTACCTGGACAAAAACTGTGACTTTTCACTGGGGATTCCAGTCTCTTCAGGAGGGAATTTAATTTCTGCTTTTCCCTATCTCACCCCGACAAAAAAGGTTTCCCACCAAAACAACCAGTAGCTGAGGCTCCAGATGCTTACAGGGAAGATGAAAGACCATGGTAAAGTCTCTAAGGAGTCAACATGTGCCCACACTACAGCCTTGGACTGATGTGGAATCCACCTTTCCCTGCCTTCCAAAGGGCTAAACAGACTTCAAACCCCCAATATTTCATGAAACAAAATTTTTGTTTTCCACTCAGCCATAACCATTATCTCAGTTCCTACTGAGTAAGATTTTCTAACTGTAACACTCCAACATGTTCTCACTCATTCTTTTAATCTCCATCTATTCTTTCTACATCAAGCACCATCTGAAGTGACAGACAGGCA